CGTTCATTCCCAGCACCAGCTCAAATGGGTACAATTGTGACAACTCTTGAATTATTTCACATTTGGGAGCCAAGAGTCTGTGAACAAGACCAAAAAAAAGTCAGAGGAGGAAGAAGTGCTCACACTTACAGACACCACATTATTATTGATCTGTAACTCCAGCAGTACTGCTATTATGGGAACTATTTAAGAAATACTGAAAGATGATAAAGTTGCATATACCCCCAAAATAGCAATAAAGTATCAGATTTTCAAGGCTCCTGTCATATTAAATACATGCACTTAAAAAATAAAAACCATTGTAATTTAAGATTTTTCTCACTAGATTCAGAAGCAGTCCCTGACAAGTTTAAACTGAAGTGATACTTTTACAGCAGTTCTATGATCTAATAAATTCTAAAAGTACACTGTTTGACAAAATGACATTTTTGAAGTGTTGGTTAAAAATTTGACACCCCAGAGGTGTCTTTCAAAATAGGACCTTCCTTCTGCTTCAGGAAACAGTATTAACAGCAATAAACAGACTACTTCATTTTTATTAGATGACAGCATACTAAGTGTCATAATGTGTCTAGAATTAAATCAAGGTTGAAGTATTCACATAAACTAAAAGCGTATCAGGATTTAGCAATTTATTTGTAATATGATGCTATTTTTTTACTTGCATAGAGACAGAATTTGGTACACAGAATGGCTGCAAAAATTTTTTGCATCAGTTCATACTGACTTCTGATAGGGCATATAAATCAGATAATTAAAGGTATGAAAAAACTGCTTTGCACAGCCAGATTGCTTATTCAAAGAATGACGAAAACAAAAAACTCCACCCAAAAAGCAACAACAAAGGTTGACTATTGTTTATCCATGTAATCTAGTAGTCTTTGAAAAAAATCTAGTATTCACATCAGCATAAGCAACTCCAAAGTTCACAATACACTTAAAAGCTCATTAAACAGTTCCTGAATTAATGTGTCGGTGTTAAACTAAAATCTTACATTTTTTACAATCTCTATCTTTATTTCAATGCTAATTACTGTTCTTTGGAAGTCAGAAAATAATGTATACTGATGTATAAAGATCCCTTTAATCAGCTGTCAGCCACTACCCCATGAAACATAAAAAGGACAGTAAGTGTTGACAAGTTTTAAACTCCAAGGTAATCTGTGCATACCTGAAACTCTATGCTGAATGTTTGACTTTCCCAGACCACTACTTTTATTTTCCATAGTGCCTTGGCAACCCATCGTTTTTTTAAAACAGGTTATGAAACACTATACAAAACAGCTAAGCCTCTTAAGAGGAAAAAGAAACTTTCCTCTTAGATCAATCCATACTCTATTCAATAAAACTGGTTTAAATGCACTACAAAATTTACACAGTCTGATTTCCCAAACTGCCCACGCAGCTCAGAAGAAACAGTTGTGGGAATCTTACACTTGAGAGTGACTACTTACATTTTTTAGTACTTACTTTCTTATTAGACCTAAGGAAACTTTAAAGAGGAAGCCATCTTGTCCAATTATTCCCATTCCGCTTGATTTTCCACTGCTGTCTATACAGACCATCTCTGGTTCCATGTCTTTATTTGCTACAACGAACTGACCATAAATAAGATCTCCCACCTAAACAAAACAGTGTCAAAGAATAAAAGTATAATCTCTTCTAATCATGTAGCAGGACCACAATAAAAAATATCACACCAGCCTATTTTGTTTTTCTTCACAGTTCCTTTTACATTGGCGTTTCATCTGAGTGCAGAAACCGTGGCATGCATATGCAACACAACCATTCGTAATAGCGCTGTTAAAAAAAATCTCAAAACTAACATTTTCTAGCAGCATCACGTTTTAAAACCTTAACATAGGAGTGCCCTTTCGGATACACCTTACTCATGAGCTGCATCTGCTCTTGGCAGCACTATGAGCAGATGTAAACATGAAAGTGAAGCACGCAGCCACCAGGGAGAGAGCAAACCACGCTAGTTACAGTGCTCCCAAGAAACCCCAGAAAGGCCGCGGCCTAACAGCGCAAAACCCTCCGAGGAGGACCAAGGCGAAACCATTACAACCAAACCTGCACACCTCCTCTAACGCGGGTTTACCCCAAAGAAAAGCTACCGAAATGTAACAGAAGCGCCACCAAACGACGCGGCTCAAGCGCTACCAGGGCCAGCTAACCAGGGCACTCACCTGCACGTTGGGCCTGTTCCTCTTCGTGGCGCCTTCGAAGGCCAGGTAGGACAGGGAGGCCGGCTCGCTGCCGCCCACGTCCAGTCTGAACACATCCCCCGCCTTGGCCGTCACGATCCCTATGACGTGGTCGCCCTTCACCGGCACGTACTGCAGCGGGGAAGGGGACAGAGGGTGAGGGCAGCGCGGGTAAAACGGGGGCTAACACACGTACACACAGGCACACACGGACACGCGGGTCCCGCCGCGCCCCTACCCGCTTCTGCTGCGAGTCCACCCAGTAAGCGCCGCCGCCGCCGGGCCGGTGCCGCAGCAGCCCGCACTTGGTCACCAGCAGCCCGGCCCCGCTGCGCCGCAGCCCCGGCCCGCACAGCAGCCGCCCCTGCGGCGCCGCGCCCGCGCTCAGCCGCAGCCGCTCGCCCTCCGCGTCCTCGTCGTAGTGCGCGGGGAGCAGCAGCAGGTCCCCGGGCAGCACCACCTGCCCCACGAGGGCCTCGGCCGCCACGCCGCGCTCCGCCGCCATGGCCGCCCCGGCGCAGGGCCCCTCCGGCTGGGCGGGGCGGCTGCGCTCTGCGGCCTGCGCGGGGCGCCAGCGACACCCCCCGGCCGGGACGGGACAGGCCCCGGGAGGAACCGACAGCTGTGCCCGCGCCCCTTCCATCCCCGAGCTGCTGCGGCCGCCTCCTCGCCGCTCACGGCATCTCCGCCACCTTCCTCTCCTTCAGGGAAGCAGATCACCCTCCATTTCTGCCAGGGAGCAGCCAAGATAATGTTAGTGCGCTTAGGCGTCGGAATTAATAAACACGGAGTTAATTATTCTAGCTGCAGTTGTTTGCAAGGTTTTTTAATACCCGATTAGAAGCTGACAGTAAAACAAAGAGCTGGTCAAATCTGAGGTGAATGTCAGCCGATGAGTTTGGCAGGGAGCAGAAAAGATCCCATCAGTTGTGCAGGGAAACTGCGCACAGAGAGATGGCGTTAAAACAGCTGGAAAGGATCACAGTGGGTCATCTGGGCCATCCTCCCTGCTTAAGCTGGGTCGTCCTAGAGCACATTGCACAGAACTGCATCCAGACAGTTCTCAGTATCTCCACATAGATTCCACAACATCTCCGGGCAATCTGTTCCAGTGTGCGGTCACCTGCACAAAATGAAGTTTTGCCTTGTGATTAGATGGAACTTCCTACGCATCAGTTTCTGCCCATTGCCTGATGTCCTAGTGGTTGGCAGCACGGAGCAGAGCTTGGCACCGCCCCTTTAGATATTGATATATATTAATGAGGCTCCCTATCAATCATCTCTTCTCAAGGCTGAACAGGCTCAGTGCTCTCTTATAAGAGAGATGCCCCAGTCCCTTAATCATCTCCATAGCACTGCGCTGGACCCACGTCAGGAGCTCCATTCTCTCACTGGGGAGCCCAGAACTGGACACAGCACTCCAGGCAGAGCCTCACTAGGCCTGAGCAGAGGAGCAGGATCACTTCCCTGGACCTGCTGGCAATGCTGTTCCTAATGGGCCTTCTTGGCCGCAAGGTCACTGCTGGCTCATGGAGATCTTGAAGGACCACGAAGGACTAGGCCCCCAGATCCTTCTCCACAGAGCTGCTCTCCAGCAGCTGAGCCCCCAGCTCCTCCCGGCGCTCGGGGTTATTCCTCCTCAGGTGCAGGACCCTGCATTTGTCATTGTTCAATTTCAGGTTCTCCTCTGCTCATCCCTTCAGCCTTTTGAGCTCTCTCAAGGGCAAAAAACCCTCTGAGGTCTCGGCCCCTCCTCCCGGCTTTGTGCCACCAGTGATCTTTCCGAGCAGGCCCTTCACCCCTCCACCCCTCCACCAGCTCCTGCGGCCGGCGCTGGGGCCCGCTGCGCCCGCGGCGCTGTTGCGGAGCAACCCCGCGCGTCCCGGGGCTCTGGAGGCCGGGCGGTAGGAGCGGGGCGGGCCGGGGCTGCCGTCCCGGGGCTCTGGAGGCCGGGCGGTAGGAGCGGGGCGGGCCGGGGCTGCCGTCCCGGGGCTCTGGAGGCCGGGCGGTAGGAGCGGGGCGGGCCGGGGCTGCCGTCCCGGGGCTCTGGGAGCTGCTGCCAGGAAGGAGGCGGAGCGGGGCTGCTCTCCGAAGGAAGGCGAGCGGCTACAGACAGTGACAGCACCGGCTGGCAGTGACTGTCGCGGAGCGTGGGGCGAGGCGGGGTAACGGGTCGGGCCCTCCCAGGCTCCTGAACACCAAGAGTAGCGATGAGAAGCGGGCCCGCCCCGCCTGCAGCGTAGTGGAAGGGGAGAGGCCTGGGCTGCGCTTAAATAGAACCCGTGCAAGAGGGCGGGACGGGAGAGAGTTAGGCTGTGGTTTAATGGAGCTCGTGTTATAGAGGGTGGACCCCATTCAGGCACCCGGAGCTGCCGTGAGCGCGGAGAATGGGACCGGACTTGCTGCTGTGCCAAGGGCCCGGGCTGTCTGCCCCACACGGATTCAGCCCTCTTAACAGCAAAGGAAGGCTCGTGTTTACTTAAACTAGTAAAGTGTGTACACAGAGATCTGTGTTTCGTAACTGTAGAGTGAGTGCTTCAGGCCCTGGCCTTGCATACATGTCTTGAAGATAGCTTTGACAGCTCAAACTAAAATTACCTCTTAATCGTCCTCAGCACTACTTGCCTGCTCTTAGAGTATCTGTGTAGAAGTTTTCTGTCATGTTATGGTTTTCAGGGATAATTTTTTTTTTGTTATCATGCAGACTTAGAATTAACAGCATGTTTCCAAGTATTTTATGGATTATACGTGTCCAAACAGTAAAGTGGGGTTTGAGCATTTTTCTTCTCCGATGATTGGTATAACTGACCTGTCACTGGAGCTTTTAAGAACTAAACCACTGCTAAATAGTTTCCTTGTCTTAGTAAAAAGTAATGTCATAGTCAGTGTTTGGTGCCTGAAGCAAGAGTTCTTAACCCCCTTAACTTAATTTTGACATTGATGTCTAATATCTGTTTATTGTCAGCAGGTCTGGATGGAGTCTCAGTATCTGAAGCAATGCCTGGGAAATTGCTTGAAGAAAGGACTGGCAGAGGTTGTAGAGCATCGGCCAGCAGATCCAATAGAGTATCTTGCACACTGGATTTACAATTACAGAAGAAACTTAGATGAAGAAGAAAAGGTGGATCCAACTTAGGCAAAAAAAGATTGCTCCAATATAGTTGATGCTATTTAATATATCTTTCATTTTTATATTTAATTGATTCTCTGTTACCTCTGAAATAGAGAGCCCTGGAGAGAGCTGAGCTGGAACAAGAACGGGAGGCAGCTCTAGCAGAACTTGAAAGGTTAAAAATCCAGGAAGAAGAGCAGCGGAAGCTTGAAGAACAACGTCAGGTTATTAATACTTAATAATAGATAATTCTAAGTAGCATAAGGTGCTGTGGCATGTTGGAGCTCTTTGTATACTTCTAATAGCTGTATAATGATTTTGATAAAGGTAACATAAAGCAAGTATTTTAATGTCACTTTTCTGAGTAATTGAAATTATTAGTTAGCACATGGATAGGAGAATTTACATACTATGCAGTAAAATGTTATTTAAAATGATGGCTGTTAAGATAAAAAGCAGCCAATTTAGGACTTAAGTGAGAAGTAACTGAAAATACTTTTTGGGCTTATAATACGAGAAATAAATACAATATCTGTGTTTCTAGCCATTCTTTATAAAGGAGTCATGTTAACTCAGTGTTGCCATGGTGATGTTGATGTGACCTGACTGGATTCTTTTGTATGGATGACTTTCATGATGTTAAAATCAAAAGCTTAATTTTAAATTTATGCTGATCACATTAAGCCCAGCTTTAGTGTAAAATGCATTCATTTAATTTCACTTGCAGTTTTAAATTTGGAGTTTAGTAATTTGGAAACCAAAAGTAATGTGCTTAAGGGTTTCATGAGTGATGTAAAATAGTAAATGAAAATAAAGAGATTGTGTCTAGAGATAATTCACAGAGAATTAAATAATTTTACATAAGCTGTGGGAAAGATGTTGAACAATACTCAGATAAATTTTTCTTTAAACTAACTCAGTTTTGGCTGCAGTCAAATACTGAGGTAAGTTTTGCTTTTACATACCAAAAACAAATAGAAAACTATGATCATACTTGTAACTGCTCACAAAATGCAAGAGCAAACAGTATTCTCTAGAGCTGTTTAATGTAAATACTTAGATTCTGCAGTTTCTGAAGTTTTGATGCAATAGGACTTACGTTCACAATTAATAAACATTTCCTGTTAGATATTTCCAGTTGTAAATACTAAAGGTCGCTGATGGACATGATTAATGTTAATAACATTGCTTGCCACGTTTTTCTATAGATTTGATTCTACATTGATTCATCCATCTGTGCTAGGTACTATAGAAAGTATCAAAGGGCTTAATCCAAAGGATAGGAGATAACTAACACAGACTGATAAAGAGCATGTTTAATGATAAAATATCTGAGGTGTGTACACTAACCTCAGTAGATTGTTTTTAATTCCTGTTGGTAGTAAAGCCTTTTTATCCACGAGTCTCAGATGATTGAAAATGCTAAGCCAGATGATACTGAAAGGACTTTGTTATTAACATAACATAGCAGTTATGTTTTATGCATACTTTGTATTTATTATTTTAATAATAAATACATTGTAAACAATGTGGTGAAAAAGATAAATGTGGGTTTTTTTCTTTCTAATTTGTCCCTTCTTAAACTGGTTGCAGGCTCAGTTGAAGAAAGAACGTGAGGAGTTGGAAGCACAGAATAAAGAAGTGGAAATGCTGTTGCAGCAGGAAGAGGTTTAAGCCAATGCTTAGTTGTTGGTTTGAAAATACCATTTATCAGCCTTTTTTTCCAGATGCAGGCATCAATTACAAAACAGAAAGCAGAAGCCCATGAGTGTTGAACTAACACATAATTAAAGAATCAGGAGTGTAGACAGGGGGAGATGTCTAACATGTGGCTTCTACAGTCTGGGTTTTATATTTTAATTTTGGTCTGAAGAAAACATAAATTTATTGAAAAAATCCAGCATAAGGTCAACTTAGCTGATGCTTCCACATTCCTTGATGGTATTTATTAGAAAATTATACCTAATGTCTAATTTAAATATCAAGACAGTAATATTTTGCAGGGTGTCAGCACAAAATCCATTTACTATACCTGGAAAAGGAACTATGGTTTGGAAATGCAATGCATCTGGATTCTGGTATCTTAGTGGTGTATGGGAATTTATACTAACAGAAGAGTGTGTATACAGATATCTGTTTTTATGGCCTTGTAATGCTGCTTCAGTAAAAACATATAAAGATAATTGGCATGCTTATATCCCTAAAGCTTTTAAAGCTATGGAGCACAGAGTATTTTAAAAATACCCAAGTTTTTAGAAAAATCTGTTAAAATACTGACAAAACATAATTGCAGGAAGATGACATTATGAAAGTGACAAAAAATGAATATTTAAATATTTAATTGCTGTTAATTTAAAAAAAATAAAAAAAATAGGGTTAAGCATACAAAGATCATATTCCTATACTACTAAATTTGTATAGCTTTTATCTAAAGTATTATTTTTATAGTAATACATAATGTGATTTTAACACGCCTGAAATGCGATTTCATGACATGGGACATTTTAACTGAAAAACTAGTTTTCATTACCACAGGAAGATGAAAAGACAGTAGCTGAAGATGGACCTGGAACACTTACTTCTGAGGAACCAGATGAGAGTGAACCAGTAAGTATTTAGAAAGAGATTATAAATAATTGATTCTTACAGATTTGCTTTTCTATGCTGACTTATCAAAAGGTTAAAACTGTTTAAGGGATAGTATTTTGGTCACAGCCTCCAAACTGCCCACAGCTGCATTCTGGTAGGAGTTAAGCCATTCTAGAAGACTTTGTGATGTTAGCTGACTAAATGCTCGAGATTTAAAACACCCTCTGTATTCAGATATGTTACTGACCAAAGCATCAGAGAGGAGGCAGCCTTCCTGTGCTGTGTGAGCAGTTGCATACAACATGTGCAAAATCACTTCATTTCTGGTATCAGTATGTCATTCTGGATCAGAATTTATGTTGTTACATTAATGTGCTTTATAGTTAAGGTTGCTTTAATGGCAGACTGTTATAGAAGTGTTCTCAATAGACTTATGAAAATACTTACAACTGTTCTTAGGGTCAGGTTTTCACAGGTGTTTCCTCCCGTGAGGTAAATCAGATGAATATGCAAGATCTCATATAGGCCCAATTTTTATAATTTTCTGATAATGACATATTAAAAAATATTATTGAGGCTTTGGGTGTATTTTGTGTTCTTTAGTAAGCAAATTGCAAAACCAGAGTGAAAATGAGTAGTAAGTAGTATCTGCTGCTTCTTGTGTATGCCAAGTTTTCATGCCTAAAAGCGTTAGGATTACATTAGCTTTTGGGGATGTTATTTCAGGTTTTACAGTGATATGTTTGCTACAAATTAAGACCAGATTAATAAAATAAGATATATAGGCTTGTACTATTGATTCTGACCTCAGAACCACAAGGCTTCATCCAAATTTGCTGGATTTTATAATAGAAGTCTGGTGATGTCATTGTTTGTGTTCATTGTACTGAATCGTTGAATACATGATTATACTGATAAGTCTATCATAGGCAGTTTTTTCCTGTTTTTCTTTTTAAAAAGTTCATTGAGTGCTGGTAAGTGATAGATTTTTTGTTGTTGTTGTTTTTTAGAGTCAAACAGATCTCCCAACAGTAATAGAAGAAGAAAGTTTGAACTGACCTGAAAGCAGTAAATATATTTTCTACTCGTTACTTGCTGATCCTGAAGTGTAGTATCTTGATTTATGTATTTTATAAATAGAACTGATTTATATACCTGTTTTTTCCAGTGTCTGTTTTTAAGGTGTTTGTATAAAGTTGGTTAATTCTGACACTGATTCTTCCTTTTTGTTCTTAAACCATTGTAGCTAGCATGGCTGACTTGCAGGAATAAAACTGCAGCTGAAGTAAAAGCAGCAAATATATTTTCTACTTATTGCACATTGAAGTAACCATAATAAATACAAATATAACTAATGTGTCAATATGTTTTGGGGATAGATGCTACGAAGTGATAATTTGAATCAATATTGAAAGAATAAAATATTGAAAATGATTTTCCAATAATTTGAGTGGGTTCTGATACGAAAAGGGAATGCTCTACAGACTAAAAGATGGAGAGAGTATTCTGGGCATCAGACTTGGTGCAAAAATCCAATCAGATTTCCTAAATTTGAAAAATTTGAAAGAGGTAAATTTAACTCTGCCTTAGTATGTAGTAGAAGATCTTGTCTCCTAGAAGTCATGAGGTGGTTTGTGTAACATGAGATGTTTGCTCTAGGCTTTATTATTAGATAAACATATTTATTATTATATTTATTATTAGAATCTTTTTTGGGTATTGTGTGGTACTAAATAAGCTGGAAGTGTCTGCATATTCGTTTTGATTAGTCAAGTTTTTAAGATTTTTCTATGTTTTTCTTGAATTTTTAAATCAAGAAATGAAATCTGTGTTCTTTACTAAATACTGTTATTATTTCTCAAAACTTCATTTCTAAAAATTTAGAAGACTATTTAGCTTGATCCATGATTACCTATAAAAAGAAGTTTTATAATCCTCAAAGATGCATTTTTACAAGAATAGATGTCTGTAATAACTGGTATCTTGGTACAGGTTGTCAAGAATGTTGTGTGTCTCGTCATTATAAATGGAAAAGACATCAGCATTAAGAAATCGTGTGCTTCTTCAATAAAATGTGCCTTTGCATCTCTGTCTTCTACTACAAGTTAGATGGTCATGGCCAATATTGTGTAGTGAAAGTACCTTTCATTACAAAATCAGTGCATAGTGAATGCATTCACTGCATTCTTCAGTCTTGGAATGGAAGAGATTTTTCTGATAATTTTGCTTCAATTTTTTAATAGTATTGCTGAGCCTAAGGGGTTTGCTATCCTTGGCAAACTGTTAAAAATATCTATATATCCAAAAAAAAAGGGTCAATCACATAATAAATGTATTCCTGCTTTGAATAACGTGTTTTGATCATGTAGATCAGACTAAGAATAATATTACCAAATTTTAAAAACATGAGCACGATTGATTTTTCATATAGTAATATATTATATTTGCCTTTAAAGATAAAGTACCTTTATTAAAAAAATCCTGTGCCCATTTTATTGCTATATTGCTTTTTGGATGCTATTGATAAGTACACCTTATATGAGGACCCTTAAAGTCAAAAGAGGAAAATGTCACTTGCCAGGTATAAATACTTAGAAATGTTTGTGTAACTTTTGGAGTCATGAAAAATGAAACTACTTTGGTGTCTTAGTGGTCAGGCTTTGCTATCTGCAATAATTCTGATTGGTTTGCAATTTCTATAATTGTCAAAACCTTTCCTGTGGTATGAATACATCCTTGTGGTTGATGTTCCAGTAAAGAGTTTTTGACAGAGTTTACAATTATATTTGTTAGTAACAGTTCCAATAGAATCATTTAAGGACACACTTTGATACCACAGTTCCAGTTACACCTGTTAACACTCTGCATGCACAGCAGCCTCTTGTGCCCATCTCAAAGGGATGGAGTAAATGGATAAACAGATGGAGTTTGTCCATATGCATATTATACCAGTGTGTATAACTGATTCTTAATATTTAGATTAACACTTTCAAAAATTGTTAACTCATGTCCATTTACATTTAATGTCCAGTCATGTTGATCATGAAAATTTCAACCTTCATACAGCCTTCAAAATTTAAGACTCTATTTTAAAACATGCTAGAAATTAATTCTAAGGACGTGTTGCTTTCATTTCTTATTTTTTTCATACAATTTGTATCTTTCTTTGATTTTGTTATATGTATGTCCACTAGAGTGCATCCTAAATAAACAGACTGGTAGCTCTGTCAATTATAGCCCATGAAAACTACAATTTCTGTTTGTCATTTTGTTTCAGCTTATTTTTAACTATGACTTTTTCTTTGTGATGCTGCAGTCCATATTCCATTTGTTTCAAGATAGGAAGTTTTGGATGGAAACTTTTATCAGAAAATTACCTAGCAAGGGTCAAAATAAAGTGGTAGATTCCAATTTACCTGTTTCTTTGTTGCTAGTTACAGAAAACATTTGTTGTTAAAATGTTATTTATAGGAATTCCCATTTTTTTCAGGATCTGGTGTGCACATACCTGGTGCATTATTCCCCTTCTGCAGCTTTATAAGAATTCTTATCTTGGATATGTGACAAGAGGTTCTTGGCTCAGTTCTTCCTTGAGGTGCAAACCTGCCTGTAACTTACTCGAAAATGTAGTTCACAACAAAGATAACTTCTCCTTGGGTGTCTAAACCTGGAGGGAAATTAAGGCAGCTTAAAATAATTTTTGCCTTTCTTTTTCTGAACTTTTACTTTCTTTGGAGTATAGCAAGCTGGAGCCTGGAGGAGGACAGATGACTTTTAGTTACTGCACATGATGTGATTTCAGGAGTGTTAACACGATTTAACCTCTGCATAAAATGTAGACTTTTATGTTGGAAAGAAAAAAAGCAATTACACAATGTAACTCCATCTGCAGCTTTACACTCCCTTTGAATAAATTTTTATGGAATGAAGATAGAATTCATAGACAGATGATGGAAACTGTCACTGAAAATAAGGTGCTAGATACTGACAGAAGATTTATGAAATTGTCATTTTTCCTTTCTTCAGAGTAAGAGCAGTCTTGTTTAGGCTGTGACCAGGCCATGTCCAGATCCTTCAGAGAACATGCTGATACTGACATGCCCGTTCACAGCTGTTCTCATTCCAGCAGTACTGAAGCACAAGGATGAAAACAGATATGAAGCCCAGAATAGGACAAAATTATTCAGATTAATTATCAGTCTGCTCACAGAGGTGAAAACAGCTCTGCAGTGTGAGAACCTTCTCTTGCATGCAGAAATACGTGTTGCAGCAAGCACATTTTGAAGTTATTTTTTAAAAGAATAGGTTTTATAAAGTTTGCAGTCCCCTTTATGATGAATGGTTCTCCTTCATAGTCTAAAGGAACTAACTTATCTTTTTGTAAACAAAGGTTTTATACAGTCATTTGCTAATGGTAACAGGAGCCAGATTAATTAGTCTGGATTAAATGTTAAATTGAATTCCTCTAGTTTTGCTAATACAGCTTCCTCATATTTGAAGTCAGCTATTATTGCTTTACTTCTTTGAAGATTTTTCTTGTACTTAGGTTAGAAAAAGATCATCTATTGACTACAGCTAGAAAAGAGAGTCCAAGCCTGTTATTTGCTGAAAAGGACTGATGTACTTCTTAAAATATCTTTATAGTAAGCTTGTTTGCTTTTTTGGTTTTGCTTTTAAGATGTTGCTTTTTGGGGGTTTTTGTTTGGGTTTTTTTGTGGGAGAGTTTGTTGGCTTGTTTTTTTTTTTTTTACTTTTTTTTTTTACTTTTGTTTGTTTGCTGGCACTGAAGTTATACACCTTCATGCAGTCATTGTGTTTTATACTTGTGTATTTGTTATAATTCATACAATGGAATAATTTACACTATTACAAGCATTTGTACATGTATTGGGCTAGTAGTAATGGAAGAAAGGTCCAGCAGAGGAAAGTGCCCTTTTTTTGAGCTGCCACAGTGTAAAATATTTTTAAGAAATTAAGCAGAAGATTCATTCCCAGAATTTAAGAGTCAGATGTATAGGCAACTAAAATACTGTGTGTCTTCCCTGTTAACTTGTACATCATAGAATCATTAAACAAAATCTGTGTTTAATTTAGATCAGAATTTTTGTAATCTACACTACTTTTATTTTAAATAAATTAGAAGATACTGTATCATGAAAAATTATGTTCATTAGAGACTGTCTGAAGATACTGAGTGCTCTCTTTTTTTCTTTAGTTATAGGTCATCCAAAATCACTGCCCAAAAATTCAAACCACTTTATTATTAATACTAGACGTGTTTGTTTTATCATCTGAAAGTAAATGCACATTGATATTGTCAAGTAATGGAATGAGCAGAGAAGGTTGCCATTTGATTCTTGTTGATTAATCTTTTTTGAGTTATCTGTTTCAAAGGCTCTATTGACATTTCTGTACTGCTTCAGAAATATATGCTTCACTAAAAGTTCCAAATTTTCCCCAATTACTTCCATCCATCACATTTAAAATTTGGGTGTACTTTAAATGATGATGTGAAGCTTGGATTTGATTTAGAAATAAAAATTGATATTTAGGCATATCACACCAAAGTTATCTGACTAATGCCAGCTTCTCCAAGGGCATTTAGAAGATTTAGGAATGTTTTAATGAACTCCCCAAGGGAATTCTGCCGTTTTCTCCATGTAGTCATTCATGATATCAATAGCATTTGATATCATGAAAGTTTTTTGGGTTTTTCTTTCAAAAATCTTGGGCAAGTACTTGTGAAAAATGTAACTTTAGTTTGATGCAAGAACCAACTGATGTTTGAGTTCAACAAATTATTTTATTCAGCTGTTCCTCCATAGTTTAGATGTTGTCTAGTAGATGCCAGATAAATAAATTGGCTTTTCCAGGTGGAGGAGGAGGATGTATGTTTGAACTTGATCAGTATTTTGGTTAGTCTGTTTTCCTTAATGAACTGAGCCATATTTTCAGCTCCATTGTAGAGCTGATTGTTGTTGTTTTATTTCAAAAATAATTGAGGCAAACCCTTTTTTGGTGTGCTGAAGATGCATTCCAAGGATCTCAGTCTTGGTCTTATTGAAGTTGCTGAAAAAGTTGTGGTTGAAATCATGAGAGGATTGAGCTCTCAACTAACTTGGAGTTCTACCTCTGAGAAGCCATCTCCTAGTTATGAGACTTTTAATGTACTTATTAAGACAAGAGAGAATTGATTCCCTCAAACCATAT